GTTAAAATAAGAATTTCTGGTCAAATTAAGCATAGTTAACAAAAACGGAAAAATATCGGACATTTAAGCACAATTCCCTGATTAATTCTAACACAATAAACTAAGTGAAATCAAGAAAATATTAACTCATCAATACTCATCCACATATTTCAATTCACGTGTTTTGTTTCTTCTTTCCCATTGATCATCACATGCATACATATTTAAATTTTCAGTCTTTTGCATTTAAAACTTATAACAATTTGTTCACAAGTCTTAAATAATCAAGAAATTATATATTTAACTATTCCGTGAGTCCTTTGGTAGAATGATATTTGGTCTTACTGAGTTTATTACTTGATACGATTCGGTCACACTTGCCTAGGGTTAAACAAGTTTTTGGCGCCATTTTTCGGTGTTCATAAATTTGTCATCAAGTTTTTGGCACCGTTGCCGGGGACTCGTGGTTTAACTAGTTTATTTGTGTGATTATTGATTATCTTTGACTTGTTTTTGAATTTTGAATTTTATATTTCAAATTTTTGAATTTCTGTTTTTATTTTTCTGTTATTACTTTTTCTGTTATTATTTTTCTTTTTTTATTTTTCGGTTTTTATTTTATTTTATTTTCTGTTTTTATTTTTTTGTTTTTATTTTTTTGTTTTTTATTTTATCTTCTCTCTTTCTATCTTTTATCTTCTTATCTCTTATTTTATATCTTCTCTATCTTTTTGTACTAACAAATTTTTTTCTAGGGATTTGTTTTCTTGTGTATGCAGGAAGCAATTCAAACTAGAAGCAAGAAAACCTCGGAACCTCTTCTTGAAGGCTTAGACGAGAGTAGACGGAGGAGAAGAATCCGTACATCTAGAGAACTTTTCCCTCCTCTGGAAGATCTTTTACAACCTTCACCACAAGGTTCTCACCTTAACACTGAGGAGATGGAGAATAATAATGTTAGACAAACTCTTGCAGATTACACCAATGTGGCTGGCCCTCAACATTTTAACAGCATAGCAAGACCGAGGGTAAATGCAGCCAACATGGAGGTGAAACCGGTGTTGACCCAGCTGGTTAAGAGTAATCAGTTTAATGGGTTGTCACATGAAAGCCCATATGAGCACCTCACAACTTTTAATGAAATTTGCAATACAATGAAGATAATGGGGATGCCAGACGAAGCAATCAAACTTAGTTTGTTTCCTTTTTCATTGGGAGACAATGCTAAGCTTTGGTTAAACTCTTTTCCAGATGGGAGCTTTACAGAGTGGGAAGTTGTGGTGGCCAAGTTTTCGAATAAATACTTCCCACAATCTAAAGTAAACAAAGGAAAGCAAGAGATATCATCTTTCAGGCAAGGCATGGAGGAATCACTAGGTCATGCATGGGACAGGTACAAAAGCCTATTAAGAAAGACTCCCACACATGGATTTGACGAAGTAGTAGTCCTATTCTTCCTTGGAGGACTTGGTTCATAAACTAAGTTGATGCTAGACGCCTCAGCTGGAGGCAATATTAAATGGAAGACTCTAGAGGAAGCAACAGAAATAATTGAAAATATGGCTACAAATGACAATGAGCTAAACAGTGAAAGAGGAGCTCCTATTCAACAAAAAGGAGTTCTACAGTTGCAATCCAATGATGCCCTGTTAGCTCATAACAAAATAATAATTCAACAACTGGAGAATCTCACAAAGGCACTTGCACAACTGCCAATAGAGTTAAGGATTGTTGCACAGGTTCAACAACATATGTGTGAACTATATGGAGGTGACCATATCAATGGTCAATGCGCCTTTCCAGTGGAAGCTTTAGAGGATGTTAACTTCATGGCCAATCAATTTCCATACCGTCAGGGGAACTTCAATCAAGGGTGGAAACCACACCCAAGCATTGGTCAAGGACAAAGTGGGCAAGCTGGACAAGCAGGGCAATTTAACAAGCAACAACAACAAGCAACCTTATGGCAACAAATTTCTACACTTAATGAAAGATCAATAAGGATGGAAGAAACTCTTCAGCAGTTCATACAGAAAACTGAATCCACTCAAAAGAGCACTGAAGTTGCTATTAAGAACTTGGAGATTCAAATGGGTCAAATTACCAAGCAGTTGGAAGAAAGTCCTGACAAGAATTTTGGGACTAATACTGAAGTTAACCCTAGGGAAGAGTGTAAAGTGCTAGTGAGTGTAAATGTTGAAAAAGTTGAGTTGGAAAAAGAAGAGAGAAAAGAGAGAGAAGAGGAATAAGAAGAGAAAATTTGTGTGAAGATGAAGAAAGTGAGAGAAAAGAAAAAGAGGACGAGAGAAAAAAGATAGAATCACATGAAAAACCTCTTCCTCAACCAAAGAAGTATCATAGGAAGAAGGAATTTGAGCGCTTTATGGAAATCTTCAAGAAATTGGAGATTAAAGTTCCTATGATTGAGACATTGCAACAGGTTCCTAGTTTTATCAAATTCCTGAAGAAGTTTAGTAGAAAGAAGAAAAAGAAGAAAGAACTTGAGTTTTATTGGGTCAAGCTAGTGACGTTAAAACCCAATGATTTAAGAACTTTTAATTTTTGGTTTGGTGATGAAATTTTGAACTTTTGGGTATTTTTATTTTTGTTATAAGTTTGTTACAGGGTTTACATCTACTGATGGATGTTAGGCGGAAGAGTATCTACTGAGGATATTATGTTTGTATACACCTACTGATGGGTGTTGGTAAGAAAGATTCACACCTACTGATGGGTGTTGGTGGATTTTGGGTCAAGCTCGTGACGTTAAACAAGCGCTAACTGGGAGGCAACTTAGTTGATTGATTTTATCTTTGTTGTTTGTTCTGCTTTAGTTGCATGATAGGGATTGGATGCATGAGTGATCGGAGAACTTAATTGCAGAGAGCAAATGAGGGGCATGAGTAAAAGACACCTAGGAAGAAGAAAAACACAACACATAAGTGCCGCTCAGCGGTAGTATCGCAGAATGGGCTTGGGTTGCCCCTTAGCGGAACCCAAGCCCATTAGGGCGTTTTTATACCCTAAGGCCGCGAATTGGTCTCTATTTTCAGATTTTCTTCTTCCCATACACTCCTAAACACTTTTCCAAGAGTTCTATACACTTTTCCCTTCATTCCTCTTTAGAAAATCTCTTCCACTCACTTTCTCACTAGTTTTCCATCTAAGTTTGGGGTTGGGAGAGAGCATCATTGTTGGGGCTAGTTTTTCAAATCATTAGAGCAGGATTTGTTTTATCATTTGCTTTCGTTTTTAGAATAGGGTTTGATGTACTCAATTTGAACTTTATCTGTTATAATGGTTTGCTTGTGACTTATGCATGATGAGTATTGCTTGATGATGCTTTGATATTGATTGATGTTGAGATTGTGCACAATATATGCTTATACAGGCGGTTCACAAGCTTTGGAACAAATGCATGATGTTGTGATTGTGATTATGATGCTAAGCAGGATGTTGTATGTGGAATGTGAATAAGCTTATATGTGAGGTTTTGAGCTCCAGAGTTTTTGTGATTGAATGCTATTACTTTGAAAGCATGAATGACTTTGCCCAGGTGTCGCAACCGGAATCGCGACGGGACGACGATCCAAAAAAGAAACGAGTTTTTGGAAAAGAGATTGGAGTCGCCACCATAGTTTATTCTGGAAAACTACGGAAAAACCATAAAAGGATAAGGCGTGGTCTAAGAAAATCCAGATTCTGAGTTCGGGAGTCGGTTACGTGTAAGGAAGGTATTAGCACCCTACAACGCCTGCCCTAAGACAGTACCTTTAACTAAATACGCGAATGTGGTTTTCAAAATGTTTAACTATCCCCTAAAATAAAATTTTAAAGAAATATATTTTTTAGTTTTTTGAATCCGACAAGGATCGACCTTGCTCCTACGTATTCTCCTTCAGAAAGAGAAATCAGGGTTACGTAGTTCTTTTGGAAACTGTGTTGGAAATTTTGTTAGGAAATTATTTGAGAGTTTTGTTTGGAAATGATTTTGGATTTTTGGGAAGTGAAAGAGGAAAGACTTTTAGCACAAGGACGATGCGAGCGATCACACATGTGCTTAACCTTTAAAATATATATTTTGGTATTTTTATGAAAGAAAGAAGAAAGGTTTTTTAGCACAAGGACGATGCAAGCGATCACACATGTGCTTAACCTTTAAAATATATTTTTTGTATTTTTTATAAAAGAAAGCAAAAAGGTTTTTAGCACGAGGACGATGCGAGCCATCACAAACGTGCCTGACCTTTAAAACATGTTCTTTGTATTATTTTATAAAAGAAAGGGAAAAGGTTTTCAGCACGAGGACGATGCAAGCGATCACACACGTGTCTAACCTTTAAAATATATTTATTATTATTATTATTATTATTTTTAATATTTATATAATTAGAAAGTGGGTACGAAAAAGAAAAAAAGAAAAAAAAAATAAAACTAAGTAAAATGAGAATAAAAATAAAATAAAACTAAGATAAAAATAGAATAAAATAAAATAATCGTGAAAAACAATAAAAGAAAATAAATAAATAAATAAACAAAAAAAAATAAAATAAAATAAGAAACAAAAATGACAAAAGAAAAACATAAGAAAGGAAATTGAAAATTAAAAAGGAGAAATGGTCAAACTATTAATGGGAGGTAGAAACCTAAAAAGGGAGCTGCAAAGAGGGAACATACTCATAGTTGCCTGTGGGCTCAAGACCCAACTAAGAAATGGAAAAGAAAAGGAACAGGGTGCCAGGATGAGAAACGGAAGTGTGTTGGGAAAGAAGGGTTCCATTTGGCCCAAAACTGGCCTAGAAAATCTAACTTGAATCTGCTAGTTTTTTTTTGTTTTTTAACAGAAAAAATAAAGATAGAGTCTGGCCCAATGACTCAAGCCAACAACTTCACTCAGCAGAAACAATAGGGGTGTGAAAATGAGTAACGCCGCAACAGAAAGCATATGAGCGGCCCACTCCAGACCCAAAGTCTTTAACCCAGTCAGGAGCATTAGGGGTTTCTCCAATTCCAATCCATTTTGCCATTCAGAAATCTGGCACGCACCTAAGGTTCCCTTCGAAAAAATCCAGAGAGGTTTGTCTCCTCTGCACACGCCCCGCCGTCTCCGCCGAACCGGCCACCGCATGTCGCCGCCGCCGCTCACAAAGCCAGCCGCCCACTGTTGAGACCGTAGCCGGTCACGGAATAACGTTCCCCTCTTCCTCTTCTTCTCGCGCGCAAGAGAGATCGTCTTCTCCTTCGTGAATCGCCTCTTGGGCGAGCTCGACCACCGCGCCGGCCTGGGCTCCACTAGCGTCACCGGTCGTCGCCAGAGATGCCTCCGGTCACCACGTCAACATCCTCCTTCCCTCTTCTGTTGCAAACAGAGGAACCCTCTCCCTCTTCTTCAAATTCGAGGTTGCCATCACCAACGAGGATGGACGTCGCCGCTGCTGCTTACAAGCTAGTCGCCGCGAGCTCATGCCGGAAGGAACAGTGCCCTTCACGGCGGTTCCAGCCCTCTGGAATCGCACCGAGGTTCTCTTCTTCTCCTCACACTATTATTTTAGCCTGGCTTATGTTTGAAATCTGACAAGGACAACCTCTCCCTTGTATCCTCCTATAGCTTACGAAATCGACACAAGCACTAAGACATTAAATCTGGTTCTGGCTGTTATAGGTGAAGAATGACATTGAAATTTGATAAAGAGCAGGTTATTTGATACTTTGTTTTGGTGCATTTTGTTTTTTTTTTTGAATGTGTTTTGTTGTTAGGGAAGAAGTAAAAGGGGAAAGCGATGTTTTCATTCCTATATATGGTTTCTGTGTGCAGGTTGAGGAGATGAACTCCGTTGGAGAGTGGAAGAAAGCCGTGAGTGTCGAGATATGGATACGGCTATGAGCGAATCCAGATGGGTGGTAGCAGGAACTTGGTGCTTGGTACTGAGGTCATGGGACTTGAAAAGGTTGAACTACTGATGCAGTCCGAAATGTCAATTTGTCACCCTTGTTTGAATGTGTTGGATATAACAGAGGATAAAATGGTTTATTTCAGAGGACAAGCTTTGAGTGTATTGGCCTGAGATCTGTGGTTTAATCTGTTTGATACAGGTGAAGGATGATCTTGAGATGGAAAAATTATTTCTGCCTTCTGTTTTGCTGTATGAAAATGCGTCTGTTATTCCAGTTTGCTTTTATTTGCATGTTTTCTGGGTGCTAAAGTGGTATGAAGTGTTGATGTTAGGGAAGTGTATGCCTATCTTCTATTGTTAGTTAGATAGATGAAATTTGCAGACAGAAACTGCATTTTGGGTGCAGTTTTGATTAACAGAGGAAGACAAACAAACGTAACCATATACATTGATTGAAACATCATTCATCATTCATTCATCTCCCAGCATGCACAAGGAAAACATATATATGAGCATATAGACGAGCATGACCAAAGAGCTTGGATATACGAAGACTTACCTTTGCAGCTTCAAGAGAAAATGAAACTTTCCTTGTTTTAGTCTCTTTTTCTTTACTGGATTCAATTTCCTCTTGGTTCCCAATGTGTTTTTGCAGGTGCAAGAAAAGTTCTCGTAATCGGGCTCTATCGTTTGCGGACGATAACCAAAGGTGAAGGTAAAAGTGAAGGCCAGAGTCCCCTCTCGTTCCCGGATGATAACCAAGGTGAAGGTGAAGGCCAAAAGTCCCCCCTTCTGACCATGACGAAACCATTTTATAAAAAACCAAGCTCCTTTCTGCTGCCTTGCTTGCTGCACCGCTTCCTGGCATATCTCTTGCATATCCTCTGACCTCGGATCTCCTTTGCCTTTTTCCTTCTTTTATGTTTAATTTGGATCAAACGGGAAAAGACATTCAGATATCTTTCCCTCTTTGATGTATCAATGCAGCTCTGCATAGGGATTTTAGTAATAGAAACAAAACTTTCTTGAACTGCCAGAATATTTTAAGCATTGCTGTATAACGTTGCAAGCTGTAAGCGCGGTTGCTTTGTGCAGGTAAGAAAGCTTAGTTGACTTTTGTTTTATTTTGTTGTTTTTTATTTCTTTTTACAGAGAACGTCATTGCATATTGCATATATTAAGAACATATCTCTTTTTTTTTTATTTTGAAATACAAGGAAGAAAAGAAAAATAAAAGAGGAAACTTAAAATATGAAAATAAACAGAAAACAAGATATTTGAAATACAAGGAACAAAAGAAAAATAAAAAGGAAACGTAGTAACATATAAAAATAAACAGAAAACGAGATAAGATAAGATAAAATAAACAAAAATAAAATAAAAATAGAAATAAAATAAAAGTAAAAATAGAAATAAAGTAAACGTGAGAGAAAATAAATAAATAAATAAACGAAAAAAGATAAAAACAGAGGATAAAAAGTAATCGAGAAAGTAAAGAAAACTAAAACAAAAAATCTTATTCTACTTATTTTTTTAAAAGTAGAAAAATAGATTTATATTTGCTCCTTTTTTATTTATTTATTGTTATTATTTTTTATTTTGTTACTTCTTCTTAACTCAAATATTTTATTTAAATATCCGGACGAAATTGGGTATTAACACCAGGTTTTCTATGATTGAATCAATTGTTTGTTTGCATCATATGATCAAGGCCATTTGTTGATAACCCTTTTTGTTAGTCAAATGCATGTTGTAGCCACAAAAAGAGAACACAATGTGTTCTATCCTTTGAACCCTTAGCCTTGAACATGATTTGAAAAACCCTTTGTAAAAAGCTTTACCTTAAGTTAAGTAGAAAATATTACTCCCCCAAACTTAGAACCTTGCTTGTCCTCAAGCAAAAGGTATCTGGCTTTAACACAAAACACAATTTTCAAAAGCATAGATGAATTCACAATACTTGCTTAACTTGAAACAACTGGAAATGTGTAATAGATTAGCCTTCCACTATGGTGCTTACAACACAATCAATCAATCTGATGCCACAGTTTATAAGAGATCAATAATCAAAGCAAAATGCTTCACTGAATTATGTAGAACCAATCTTCACCCAAGATAGTGTTTCACTCTAATGCTCTGGTGTATAAGGATGTGTATCTATCACTCTACTATCACAATGTCACACAAATCAACTTTGCCCTTCGTTTCAACCAAATTAAACACATTCACAAGCAAGTTAGCATCACAAGGACTTTGATTGGCTTGTATTGTGGTTGAAAGAAACATGGTTTTTCTGGATAACAAAGCACCTTGAGCTTAAGAGATTAAACAATTCAAATCATGCACAAGTTTCTCTTTTGCTTCACTTAAATCACAACCAATTTCAAACTTATATCTCAACTTTCTTTCATTCAATTCTTTTTCTTTATCTTCTTTTTTTTTCTTCTTTTTCCTCATTTTTCTATCTTTCTATTTTTCTCAATACACCCTTACTGAACAAACTCTCCCAAACTTAAACCATTCTCCTGTAGTACAATTGATTGCTTTATTCAGCTCAAGGTAGGGAAATCAGGGAATTTTCATTAGACTTGAGGTTCAAAGAGGGAAGAAATCTTTCATTAAGGTTGAAGGGGTTAGTATTGGCTAATTTGGCTCAGAACATGTAAAAGAGGTAGAAGAGTAAGATGGCCTTGATCATGTGTAACAAGCAAGCAAATGATTCAATTCAGAGAAACTCAGGAAAAGTCAATTGTGATCTAACATGATAGCATTCACAAGAAAAATCTAAGGCACAACATCTCACAAGGTTAACTCAAGGTTCCACAAACATCATCAAGNCCTCAAGCAAAAGGTATCTGGCTTTAACACAAAACACAATTTTCAAAAGCATAGATGAATTCACAATACTTGCTTAACTTGAAACAACTGGAAATGTGTAATAGATTAGCCTTCCACTATGGTGCTTACAACACAATCAATCAATCTGATGCCACAGTTTATAAGAGATCAATAATCAAAGCAAAATGCTTCACTGAATTATGTAGAACCAATCTTCACCCAAGATAGTGTTTCACTCTAATGCTCTGGTGTATAAGGATGTGTATCTATCACTCTACTATCACAATGTCACACAAATCAACTTTGCCCTTCGTTTCAACCAAATTAAACACATTCACAAGCAAGTTAGCATCACAAGGACTTTGATTGGCTTGTATTGTGGTTGAAAGAAACATGGTTTTTCTGGATAACAAAGCACCTTGAGCTTAAGAGATTAAACAATTCAAATCATGCACAAGTTTCTCTTTTGCTTCACTTAAATCACAACCAATTTCAAACTTATATCTCAACTTTCTTTCATTCAATTCTTTTTCTTTATCTTCTTTTTTTTTCTTCTTTTTCCTCATTTTTCTATCTTTCTATTTTTCTCAATACACCCTTACTGAACAAACTCTCCCAAACTTAAACCATTCTCCTGTAGTACAATTGATTGCTTTATTCAGCTCAAGGTAGGGAAATCAGGGAATTTTCATTAGACTTGAGGTTCAAAGAGGGAAGAAATCTTTCATTAAGGTTGAAGGGGTTAGTATTGGCTTATTTGGCTCAGAACATGTAAAAGAGGTAGAAGAGTAAGATGGCCTTGATCATGTGTAACAAGCAAGCAAATGATTCAATTCAGAGAAACTCAGGAAAAGTCAATTGTGATCTAACATGATAGCATTCACAAGAAAAATCTAAGGCACAACATCTCACAAGGTTAACTCAAGGTTCCACAAACATCATCAAGAAATTGCCATAAATATTGATCGCAAATAAACATAGAGCATTCTCAAAATTTTCATGAAGAAAGCAACCACAATTTGAACTAACTTGAACCATCTCAAGAATCATTTCATATTCAAGCATAAGCATCATGGTTCATCACAGTCTATCAAGCCAGATAACTTAAACATCTTTAAACAAACTAAAAAGTAAAAGTCACACTCAAATTTAAAGACAAGCAAACAAAACATAAAAGCAAAATAAAAGGGCTTGTGAGTGTACAGAGGAGTCTCCAACTCTATTCATGAAAAGCTATCATCGCTCGTATCAGAATCCTCCTCCTCATCTACATTATCTTCACCAGCTGCTGCTCCACCTCCCCCTACAAAATTGGTCTGGTCTCCAGGCCAAGTGAAAAACTCATCAAGCAAACATCATGGTTAATGTTTGAAAAAAACAAGTTTGGAACCTAAAATTATCACATAACCAGGGGTATAGAATCATGTAGCTTGATAAAACATGTAAAACAAAAGGCTAGCAGCAAGCCCCACTTATAACAGAACCAAATTGCATAGAAAATAGGAGAGATGTCCTGGTGCGCCATAGCTGAGCGGCATAGGTTTTGTGCAGCTGAGCGCCATATCAGTAAAATGCAGAAATAAGCCTTCTGTTGGTATAGCGCGCAGGTGCAGCGCAGGTGCAACTGAGCGGTAGTCTGGCAGATGCAATTTTTCAGCAATTTGGACATTCAATCTTGGATTTTTGACATTTTTCATGCATTCACACTCATTCAAAACTAGATGTTCATGTTCCTACTCAATAAAAACACATGGAAATCATAGTGAAACAAATAAAATGCATGAATCTAAAACATGAATGTCATATTCAATGTACCTAAACCTTACACCTAAACACCAGATTTTTCCACACAAACACACCTAAACATATCATAACATACCAAAGCATATTTAATCACACCAGAACAAATGAAAACAGATTGAAACACTCTTAAAGCACGTCAACTCACCAAAACACTCAACATTACACCAATGTAACTATTAACATCACATAAGTTAAATTGCAAACTAACATGCTCCAAAATAACTAAATCAAGCTAAAACACTCTAAAGCAAATTCAAGCAATCAAATCACACTCAAACAAAAAAAGTCACACATAAGAAAATGTGAGAAAGTTGGGTTGCCTCCCAGTAAACGCTTGTTTAACGTCATTAGCTTGACACCATTGTGCTCAAGATTGATTTTTGATGTTGGTGTGCTTCTTCTTTTCATGATGTCAACACCCAATTTCGTCCGAGTCGGCTAAATAATAGATTTTTTACTTTATTACTTTATTTGATATTATTTTATTTTATTTTTCATTTTTATTAAGTTTTTATCATTTTATTTCATTATGCTATTTTATTTTATTTTTATTTTCTAATTAGTCTTTTCTATTTAGAATTTTCGTTTTTTATTTTATTTTGTTTTTACTTTGTGATTTTATTTTTTAGTTTTGCTTTAGTACAATTAACACAATTTTTAAAACAAAAAAAGAAGAAAAGGTTTTGAAGTGTGCGGTTTGGAATCTAGTAAAAAAATGAAGAGGAAACATACTGGTACGGGAAAAGGACTCCGCATGGTTCGGTGTTTAGTAAAAATGGGGAGAAAACATTTTGGGGGGCGGGAGAAAGGACTGCGCATGAATTGGAATTTTGGGGAAAAGAGGAGGGGGGAGAAGATCAAAGATAGAAAAAGGAACAGAGGGAGAGAAGGGAAAAGAAGAAAAAGGGGAGAGTTCTGCTGAACTGAAAAAAAGAGGTATTAACAGTGTGACACAGCAGCAAAGAGAAGGGGGCACAACACTTGAAAGAGGCTACGGAGAGCAGAAGAAACTAAAGGAAGCTTCAAGAGGTGTGTGTTTAAATTGTGATTGTATTCATTGTCGAAATGCTTCAAAAGTACGTAAGTTATTGAGCTATGATATTGAAATGCATGTCAAAGATTATCTTGTGTGTTGATGTTACTGTGAATTAATGTTGCACTGAGTTCATGTTATCCTCTTTCCCGTGCCCAATATTCTATCACTCTTTCTAAGATTCTGCATAATTCCCCTAAATTCTCAACCAATGCATTCACATTGAACTCTACCCATAACACCAACTTGATCTCATGATATTGCCAAATACCTTTGTGCTACCATCAACCATCACGCGGCCACCCATAACCAATGTCTGCAACCAGAAAACATCAATAATCATATAGAAGGTTTACAGAGGTGGAGAAAAGTGGAAGCTAATGAACATAGCACCCTTTTCGGAACTAGATTAATCCAATCAAAGAAAAGAAAAACACAGAACAGAAAGCCATTTTCTCAATCATCTCCTTCATTAGAGTTCGCTCATCAGCCACTATATAGCACCACCACGGCACCACTAAGAACCCATCTTCGAGTCATAGCCATTATCATCTCGAATCCTTCCATCACCATTGTTCTCTGTCAGCCACCGGCTATCACCACCAGCCACCGTGAGTGTCACCAACATCCCATTCACACTCTCATTTTTGTTCCTTCCTCTGTGAATGCAAGCTGATCCCCGTGAAACTCCCTATCACTGTCTGCCTCCATCAACATCCCTGTAGCACCTTCACAACCAATGTAACAGTCACCTTCTTCGACCTCCCCCTCCACCGTGATCACTTCGCCATCTCAGACCGACTCAACACCACCGTGAAAACCCACAACCATCACGCCTCCTCAGGTCTCGTCTCGGACGCCCATCTTCACCGTGAACCTCCTCCACCGTGGACATCTTCCCAGCCGCACCATCAACACTAAACACCCTCATCTCTTTCCACATCAGAGACCCAAACCGCCACTCACAAGCCACTGTGGACATCACCCAACTCACCGTTTCTTTTTCTACTCCGCCATCCACCATACCTCCAACGTCTGCCCATCACCTCGTGAACCCGTCACCCTCCTTCACGCCATTATCGCCGCTCCCCACTGCATCATCTTCATCTCCGAATCAACCTTCCCTCAACCTTACCGTCAACAGCCACCGTTATCACAACTATCGTAACACCCTTCTCCACCATCAGCACCTCCTCAACTAATGAAACAGTTATCTCCGTAGCTCATTCCCCGCGCGCCATTCTCATATCTCACTCATCTGAACCTGCAAACAGCAAACCCAGAAGACAAATACACAGAGACCAAAAGCCCTTCGAACCCGCTGTCCAACCCAACACCGCCGCGAGCAGGGAGACCCCTGTGGCGGCTGGCTTCATTCACGGCGACGGGTCGGGAGTGCCCTGGGACGAGGCTGCCGGCAGAGGAGCGAGTTTCTCTCGCATGCGTGTGGAGAAGAAGAAAGGGACCTTCGTGTTGTGGCCGGCTGGCGATGGCGTGTCCAGCTCGCGCGCGACGAGCAACGAAAGAAGAGAGCTTTCGCCTTGACCGGCGACGGCTCCGGCAACGGCGACGAAGTTTGGAGGTGGCGAGAGCAATGAGATCTCGGAGTTGAAGCCTGGTTCGCACGAGGAAGAAGAGACGAGATAGTGGTCCGCCGTGAAGGGTGGTGGTTGCTCCGGCGTAAGCACTGGCGACGCGTGGGCAGCGGCTCGCGGTGGCCGGTTTTGGTTGAGGCTTGAACGGAGTGGGTGCACGAGTGGCGGAGGTGAGTGGCGGATGTTTTCTCAGAGGAAAGGGATTTGGGTCTCTTGCATGTTTGAATGCACAAATGAGATAACCCCTACAATGTTCTAAGCTAGAAACGGACCCTGGCCTAGATATTGGGCCGCATTCTCTTTGCCTACCGCCACGCGCGTTTCCCATTCACACTCCCATCCAGTTTCTCCAAACAAAAAGGAAGAGATTGGACATTGGGTTCATTTCGGTTCTGACACCCAATTTTACTGTTGCACCCCCATCTTAGGCCTCTATCAAGAATTTTGAGTAGCACTCCTGATTTTATCTCTACACTCCTATCTTTATTGGGCCATTCTTGTTTTTATTTTATTTGTCTAATTGTTAGGTTTTATTTTATGTAACCCCTTTTGTATGATAACTCACATCCCTTGTTTTATTTTTTATCTATTAGACCTGTTTGTTTTGTTTTGCTCAAAAATAATAAATAATAATAATAATAATATTTTAAAATTACAAATATTAAAAAAAAAAGAGTATGAGTGTTCGTGCGATCGTCCGCATCAGCCTAGCATTCAATACTCTCAAGTTTTTCCTAAATAAATAAATAACGGTAGGAACACTCGTGAGATCGTCCGCATCGTCCTAGTGTTCAACGCCTTTCTATCTCCTTAAATAAAAATAACAAAAATATATTTTAAAGGTTAGGCACGTGTGTGATCGCTCGCATCGTCCTCGTGCCAAAAACCTTTTCTCTTTCTCTTATAAAAATACAAAAAAATATATTTTAAGGGTTAGGCACGTGTGTGATCGCTTGCATCGTCCTCGTGTCAAAAAAACCTTTTCTCTTTCTTTTATAAAAAATACAAAAAAAATATATTTTAAGGGTTAGGCACGTGTGAGATCGCTCGCATCGTCCTCGTGCTAAAAACCTTTTCCCTTTCTTTTATAAAAAATACAAAAAAATATATTTTAAGGGTTAGGCACGTGTGTGATCGCTCTCATCGTCCTCGTGCTAAAAACCTTTTCCCTTTCTTTTATAAAAAATACAAAAAATATATATTTTAAAAGGTTAAGCACACGTGTGATCGCTCGCATCGTCCTTGTGCTAAAAACCTTTTCTCTTTCTTAAAAAAAATTACAAAAATATGTTTTAAAGGTTAAGCACATGTGTGATCGCTCGCATCGTCCTTGTGCTAAAAACCTTTTCTCTTTCTTTCATAAAAAATACCAAAAAATACTTTAAAGGTTAAGTACATGTGTGATCGCTCACATCGTCCTTGTGCTAAGAACCTTTTCTCTTTCTTGCACAATAAAAATACCAAAAAATATGAAATCTTCAAAAACTAAAAACATCCATTTTGAACGGGCAATCTTTTGCCCAGAACTACGTAAGCCTTGATTCTCTACCAAAAATGGAGATACGTAGGACCAAGGCAATGCCTTGTCAGGTTCATTCTCCCAAAAATCCAAATTCGTTCACTTCCCAAAAATCCAAAACTATTTCAAACATAATTTCAAAACAAATTTCTCAAACAATTTCCAAAGAACTACGTAACCCTGATTTCTCACTCTGAATGAGAATACGTAGGAGCAAGGTCAATCCTTGTCGGGCCCAAAAAACTAAAAAATATATTTTGTTTCTTTATAGTTTTATTTTAGGGGATATTTAAACATTTTGAAAACCACATCATATTCGCGTATTTAGTTAAAGGTACTGCCTTAGGGCAGGCGTTGTAGGGTGCTAATACCTTCCCTACACGTAACCGACTCCCGAACCTTGAATCTGGTTCTTGTAGACCATGCCTTATCATTTTATGGTTTTTCCGTAGTTTTCCAGAATAAACTATGGTGGCGACTCCAAATCTCTTTTTCAAACTCGTTTCTTTTTATCCTTTTTGGATCGTCGTCGTCCCGTCGCGATTCCGGTTGCGACACTAGGCCAAGGGTTAATGCCGCCAACATGGAAATGAAACCTACTCTCATCCATTTGGTGTAGAACAATCAGTTCAACGGCCTGTTTCATGAGAATCCATACAATCATTTGGCCACCTTCCTTGAGATATGTAATACTGTGAAGATTCATGATGTACCTGACGAAGCTATAAGGCTCAACCTGTTTCCATTCTCATTGGGAGGCAACGCCAAGGTGTGGTTGAATTTGTTTCTTGAGAATAGCTTCAGGGCATGGGAGGATGTGGTTTCCAAGTTCCTCAACAAATACTTCCCACAGTCAAAAGTCAACAAAGGGAAGCAGGAAATCTCATCTTTTCAGCAAGATGGTAGTGAAACTTTGAGCCAAGCATGGGATAGGTTCAAGGGCTTACTAAGAAAGACGCCCACACATGGGTTTGATGAGCCTACTATCTTGAATATGTTTTTGGGAGGCCTTAAATCCCAAACCAAATTGATGTTGGATGCCTCTGCTGGAGGAAACATCAAATGGAAGACACCGGGAGAAGCAAATGAGCTAATAGAGAATATGGCTGCTAATGACAATGAAGTGTTCAACTACAATCTCAGAACGCATTGTTAGCTCAAAACAAAATAATGACCCAACAACTCGAAGCTCTCATGAACAAGCTCTCTCAACTTCCTAAAGAGCTCCAAAATGCTTCTCAAGCTCAACATCAAGGTTGTGAGCTATGTGGTGGAGATCATGTAAATGGTCAATGTGCCATGCAAGCCAATTTCCAAGAGGTGAATTATATGGGTAATCAAGACCGCCAAGGTAACTACAACCAAGGGTGGAGACCTCACCCAAGCATGGGCCAAGGGCAAGTCGGGCCATCAAATAGACCACCACAACAGCAATATCCACAACATCCCTCTTTATCAGACAGGACCTCTAAGTTGGAGGACACTCTCCAACAATTCATGCAAGTGTCCATCTCCAACCACAAAAGCACTGAAGCTTCCATTAGAAACCTGGAGATGCAAGTGGGCCAACTTGCTAAGAAGCTGGAGGAGAAATCTGAAAAGAGTTTTGTTGCCAACACTGAAGTAAATCCTAAGGAGGAATGCAAAGCCATTACTACTAGAAGTGGTAAGATGTTTTAAGAGAAAGAGATGGAGAGAAAAGAGAAGGAAGTTGATGAGGAGGAACAAACTAGTGGAGAAAAGAGTGAGGTCGAAAAGATGGGAGAAAAAGAAGAGAGAAAAGATGAGACTAAGAGAAAAGGAAGTGAAAATGATAAGGGAGAAGACAAGAAGAAAGAGGAAAAAGGGAAAAGAAAGATTAAAGTTCATGAGAAGCCCCTTCCTTACCCTAAAGTCTACTCAAGGAAGGAGAAAGAGAAGCAATTTGGGCATTTCATGGATATCTTCAAGAAATTGGAGATTACTTTACCCTTGACCGAAGCACTACAACAAATTCCTCCTTATGCAAAATACTTGAAGCAGTTTCTCAATAAAAAGAAGTATTTAGATGAGGAAACAATTGAAGTACAGGGGAACTGCAGTGCCATTATGCAGAAGAATCTCTCTCCTAAATTCAAAGATTTGGGGAGTTTCACCATCCCTTGCACCATTGGAAACCATGATATAGGGAAGGCTCTCGTTGACTTAGGCGCTAGCATTAATCTGATGCCCCTATCTATGCTCAAGAAGATTGGTGGTCTTGAGGTCAAACCCACAAGAATGATCTTGCAAATGGCAGATAGATCCATCAAGCATCCCTATGGTGTAGTGGAAGATGTTGTGATCCAAATTGATAAACTCAAATTCCCAGTTGATTTTGTAGTGATGGAAATGGGGGAAGAGGTAGATATACCTCTCATTCTTGGAAGACCTTAACCCTAAACCCTAAATCCCCGGCAACGGCGCCAAAAACTTGTTGGCGCTTCGGCAAGCATATCGAATCGTTCAAGTAATAAAACCGGTAAGACCGGGTATCGTTTCCCAAGAGACTCGTGTCCTTGACAATCGTATAATATCTAACTAGTTTAGACTAAAGAATAATTCCATGTTTTTGGGTTTTTCATGCAATTAAAGTAAAGATAAAACGTAAATGGTAAAAGTGATCTTTGATAACGCAAACACTTAGAAATGGAAAGATTAGAAATGATATGGAATGATATTGTTGGGGGTTGATTTCACCTACTTCACTCTTATGTATAGAAATTCACTTCCTCTTCATTAATTAGCCAATGTCAATCTTCTAATTTACTCAAACCCAATCCCTTGGTAGATAGAGCCTAGACTTACTTCTTAAACTCCAATCCCTTGGAAAACCTAACAAGTTCATCCGCTTTAAGAATTGAGATTCAAGACAACCAAAGGTCCTAGTTCTATCCCTAGATACAATTTCCTTTAGGTGTTTAATGCAGTTCTAGATTCACCCAATATTTCCCAATATTAAGCAAACCCTAAAATCATGATATGGTTGAATAAATCATACAAGCTTTAAGTAAAGGAATTAAACACTAACAATCAATCAAAGAGGCATATAATCATTCAAAACAACTGTAATTACATAAGAGATCCGTGGTTACATCAATCCCCAACAAGAATGAAACTAGCTCTCCATGAATGGAGAGCTTGAGCTTACAACAATGGTGAAAATGGAAGAAGGAGGAAGACCCAAGGATGAAGAAGGGCTGTTCCCACAGCTCCTAGCTCGCCTCTGGACGCTCCAATTGAGAGAATTTGTGTTTGGGATGCCAAAGATGTCAAAGCCCTTCTAATTTGGGGTTAAATAAACCCAATATGCCAAATCAGCAGCAAGCGCGCTTGAGACCGCGCTCCAGCGTGCGAAAACAGGAAAAAGGGCGCTCCAGCGCCCTTTTGTAGGGGGCGCTCCAGCTAAGTCCAATCCTGGTGCAAGCTAGCTCCAGCGCCCATGGAAAAAGGGCGCTCCAGCTAACTTTGACAGAATTCTGGTTCTTCATATTTTTGCTGTTTTTGTTGTTTTCTTGTTTTCCCTGGTTCCAGCACTCTTCATTTGATGCAGAGACTTCTTCCAAATAATTCACTTGTATAAATGAAGGGGTTAATGATCAATTTATCTAATTAAAGCTTTAGATGAAACCACTTCTTAAACTAAATGAAAACTAGGATTTACAAGGCAAAAAGGATGAGAAAGAGTTGATATTTTCTCTAATTCAATACTGAATTTCATAGTAAAATATGTCACTATCAACCTCTCATTCTTGGAAGACCTTTTATGAAGACGGCCAAGGTTGTCATTCATGTGGATAATGGAACTTTGCAATTGAAAGACCAAGATGATGAGGTAACTTTCAATGTCTTCGAAGCTGGGCAGCAAAATCAAGAAAAACAGACTAGTCCTAAAGCTAAGGATGAAGTTCTATCAATGATTAGTCTAATAGGGCAAGTTGCCAAGTCGGTCAAGAAGAGGATTAATTGTTTCTCTCCAAAAGTGAAAGAAGAGGGTGGAGATAAGGAAGATAAACTAGTTCACCAAAACCCTGTGATGGAAAGCTATGAACCCAAACTTGGCAAACCAGTGAGAATCAGGAATAGGTTATGGGTCATCAAGGACATAAAGATAAATGGAGTATTTGAAATTGAGGCTCCCTATTNGCATCGTCCTTGTGCTAAAAACCTTTTCTCTTTCTTTCATAAAAAATACCAAAAAATACTTTAAAGGTTAAGTACATGTGTGATCGCTCACATCGTCCTTGTGCTAAGAACCTTTTCTCTTTCTTGCACAATAAAAATACCAAAAAATATGAAATCTTCAAAAACTAAAAACATCCATTTTGAACGGGCAATCTTTTGCCCAGAACTACGTAAGCCTTGATTCTCTACCAAAAATGGAGATACGTAGGACCAAGGCAATGCCTTGTCAGGTTCATTCTCCCAAAAATCCAAATTCGTTCACTTCCCAAAAATCCAAAACTATTTCAAACATAATTTCAAAACAAATTTCTCAAACAATTTCCAAAGAACTACGTAACCCTGATTTCTCACTCTGAATGAGAATACGTAGGAGCAAGGTCAATCCTTGTCGGGCCCAAAAAACTAAAAAATATATTTTGTTTCTTTATAGTTTTATTTTAGGGGATATTTAAACATTTTGAAAACCACATCATATTCGCGTATTTAGTTAAAGGTACTGCCTTAGGGCAGGCGTTGTAGGGTGCTAATACCTTCCCTACACGTAACCGACTCCCGAACCTTGAATCTGGTTCTTGTAGACCATGCCTTATCATTTTATGGTTTTTCCGTAGTTTTCCAGAATAAACTATGGTGGCGACTCCAAATCTCTTTTTCAAACTCGTTTCTTTTTATCCTTTTTGGATCGTCGTCGTCCCGTCGCGATTCCGGTTGCGACACTAGGCCAAGGGTTAATGCCGCCAACATGGAAATGAAACCTACTCTCATCCATTTGGTGTAGAACAATCAGTTCAACGGCCTGTTTCATGAGAATCCATACAATCATTTGGCCACCTTCCTTGAGATATGTAATACTGTGAAGATTCATGATGTACCTGACGAAGCTATAAGGCTCAACCTGTTTCCATTCTCATTGGGAGGCAACGCCAAGGTGTGGTTGAATTTGTTTCCTGAGAATAGCTTCACGGCATGGGAGGATGTGGTTTCCAAGTTCCTCAACAAATACTTCCCACAGTCAAAAGTCAACAAAGGGAAACAGGAAATCTCATCTTTTTAGCAAGATGGTAGTGAAACTTTGAGCCAAGCATGGGATAGGTTCAAGGGCTTACTAAGAAAGACGCCCACACATGGGTTTGATGAGCCTACTATCTTGAATATGTTTTTGGGAGGCCTTAAATCCCAAACCAAATTGATGTTGGATGCCTCTGCTGGAGGAAACATCAAATGGAAGACACCGGGAGAAGCAAATGAGCTAATAGAGAATATGGCTGCTAATGACAATGAAGTGTTCAACTACAATCTCAGAACGCATTGTTAGCTCAAAACAAAATAATGACCCAACAACTCGAAGCTCTCATGAACAAGCTCTCTCAACTTCCTAAAGAGCTCCAAAATGCTTCTCAAGCTCAACATCAAGGTTGTGAGCTATGTGGTGGAGATCATGTAAATGGTCAATGTGCCATGCAAGCCAATTTCCAAGAGGTGAATTATATGGGTAATCAAGACCGCCAAGGTAACTACAACCAAGGGTGGAGACCTCACCCAAGCATGGGCCAAGGGCAAGTCGGGCCATCAAATAGACCACCACAACAGCAATATCCACAACATCCCTCTTTATCAGACAGGACCTCTAAGTTGGAGGACACTCTCCAACAATTCATGCAAGTGTCCATCTCCAACCACAAAAGCACTGAAGCTTCCATTAGAAACCTGGAGATGCAAGTGGGCCAACTTGCTAAGAAGCTGGAGGAGAAATCTGAAAAGAGTTTTGTTGCCAACACTGAAGTAAATCCTAAGGAGGAATGCAAAGCCATTACTACTAGAAGTGGTAAGATGTTTTAAGAGAAAGAGATGGAGAGAAAAGAGAAGGAAGTTGATGAGGAGGAACAAACTAGTGGAGAAAAGAGTGAGGTCGAAAAGATGGGAGAAAAAGAAGAGAGAAAAGATGAGACTAAGAGAAAAGGAAGTGAAAATGATAAGGGAGAAGACAAGAAGAAAGAGGAAAAAGGGAAAAGAAAGATTAAAGTTCATGAGAAGCCCCTTCCTTACCCTAAAGTCTACTCAAGGAAGGAGAAAGAGAAGCAATTTGGGCATTTCATGGATATCTTCAAGAAATTGGAGATTACTTTACCCTTGACCGAAGCACTACAACAAATTCCTCCTTATGCAAAATACTTGAAGCAGTTTCTCAATAAAAAGAAGTATTTAGATGAGGAAACAATTGAAGTACAGGGGAACTGCAGTGCCATTATGCAGAAGAATCTCTCTCCTAAATTCAAAGATTTGGGGAGTTTCACCATCCCTTGCACCATTGGAAACCATGATATAGGGAAGGCTCTCGTTGACTTAGGCGCTAGCATTAATCTGATGCCCCTATCTATGCTCAAGAAGATTGGTGGTCTTGAGGTCAAACCCACAAGAATGATCTTGCAAATGGCAGATAGATCCATCAAGCATCCCTATGGTGTAGTGGAAGATGTTGTGATCCAAATTGATAAACTCAAATTCCCAGTTGATTTTGTAGTGATGGAAATGGGGGAAGAGGTAGATATACCTCTCATTCTTGGAAGACCTTAACCCTAAACCCTAAATCCCCGGCAACGGCGCCAAAAACTTGTTGGCGCTTCGGCAAGCATATCGAATCGTTCAAGTAATAAAACCGGTAAGACCGGGTATCGTTTCCCAAGAGACTCGTGTCCTTGACAATCGTATAATATCTAACTAGTTTAGACTAAAGAATAATTCCATGTTTTTGGGTTTTTCATGCAATTAAAGTAAAGATAAAACGTAAATGGTAAAAGTGATCTTTGATAACGCAAACACTTAGAAATGGAAAGATTAGAAATGATATGGAATGATATTGTTGGGGGTTGATTTCACCTACTTCACTCTTATGTATAGAAATTCACTTCCTCTTCATTAATTAGCCAATGTCAATCTTCTAATTTACTCAAACCCAATCCCTTGGTAGATAGAGCCTAGACTTACTTCTTAAACTCCAATCCCTTGGAAAACCTAACAAGTTCATCCGCTTTAAGAATTGAGATTCAAGACAACCAAAGGTCCTAGTTCTATCCCTAGATACAATTTCCTTTAGGTGTTTAATGCAGTTCTAGATTCACCCAATATTTCCCAATATTAAGCAAACCCTAAAATCATGATATGGTTGAATAAATCATACAAGCTTTAAGTAAAGGAATTAAACACTAACAATC